CGGGGCTGGCAGCGGCCAAGCCGCTCTCCCTGAAGGCAGAGCAGTCTGAATCACAGTGCTGGGGGAAAGACAGTGCTTTGATCATCAAAAGCCCATCCAAGAAAAGCTGATTAATAGTTTTCTCTTGCTGTGGAATCTGTGGATGCTGGCTCTTTAATCTGCCAGGAATGCCAGGTCCGGTGCGTCACGCTGAGCAGCTCGGGCCTCGCCAGCAGCAGCACTGTGATGCAATGGCAGCGGAGGTGGAGGCTGGAGCAGGAGGTGACTCCTGCCGTGTCAAAAGGCCATGGGCCACTTCTGTTAACCACAGCTCCTTTTCTTCTTCGGGGTGTGAGCTGGAATTGTATTTGCATTCAATCGAGTCTTTCCACAGCTGCTGCCAAAAGCAAACAGCGCGGAGCTGCTCAGGGAGCAGCACTGCTCCGATGGGGAGTGAAGGGCAGGGGGGGCTGAGGAACAGGGTGGTGCCAGGGCGAGTCCTCTGATGTTGTTTGGCTGCAGCCACCCGTGCCAGGGCACAGCTGGGCACGCCAGCACACCTTGGTCAGGAGGTGCACAGCCAGGGCTGGCTCGTGGTGCTGCCTGCACTGCCCCAGGCTGGGGCCAGCTGAGCTGGTGCTTCCAGGAGTCTGCACTTCCTACACCAGCAAACAGAGGCAGCCAGGGCTGGTGGAACCCCAAAGCCATCGCCTGCAGCCCCCCACGGGTGTTTGGGAATGTGTTGGCACTGGGCATTGCATCCCACCAGTGCCCTGGCTTCCCTTTTCCTCCTGGGGCTGGTGCTGCCTTCCCTGCCAGCCCTGCAGCTCTGCCTGTGGAGCTGTCAGCTGGACAGCCACCATTCCTCTGGGAAGGGTTCCTGGGAGATGGATGTGCATTGCCTGAGTGCTCAGTCCCATTTTGGGTGCACCTCCAGCTGTGGGAGATGGTGTTTTCAGTCCATGTAGCTGCACTGAAGCACACACACCCTTTGCCCTGCACATGTTTTTTAGGAAGGCTGCAGGAAGCCTTGGAGGTGGAAAAGGCTCCTAGAGCTGGCAGAGGAGAATATGGGCCAGGTTGGTGATCCATCTGTACTCAGGGGCAGGAGAGGTGCAAACTCCAGTTTCTGAGCCCCCAGGATGTGCTGGAAGGCCCAACTGTGGGATTGGCTTTGCTGCCCAAGGAGGGATCTTCTTGCCCTCCATCCTGGTGCCAGACAGCTATGAGTATGGCAGATGTGTTTCCAGAGAGCAGATTTAGGTGAGAACACTTCCTTTGGGGCTAGTTTTGAGACAGATCATCAGGGCTGTGGTTTGTCTTGTTCCCAAGTGCTGCAGCCCTTCCTGCCTGGGGAAGGAACTGTTGTTGGGAGTGGTATTAGCTTAAAGGAATTAGGAAACCAGGCTGGGAGGCATTGGCTGCATTGGCTTTTGGGGCCATCCTCTGTGGGTTTGCACCCTGTCAGTGTCCTGCAGGTGGCCCAGACCTCACTGGGCTGTGGCTGGGCTTGTGTCCCAGTGCAGGTGGCTGAGCCCTTTCTGTGTGGGGCAGAAGGGGATCAGGGGGCTGTCACACAGAGGAGAGAGTGAATGGAAACTGGTGGGTGGCCTGTGGCAGGAAGAAATGAGGATGCAGGAGCATGTCCTGGGCTGGATCAGGTCAGCTGGCTCAGTTTTAGGGTGCATGTGCTGTCCACCTGGAGTCCTGTAGCTGCAAATCTGCTCCATTCCCACGCAGCCTGT